CTTACGGTCACCCGCTCTCTTACTTCTCTTCGTGATGTCTTCGAGTCATTGGTCTCGACCACCCCGTTGGTCGCTTTGGTGAACTTTCTTCGGCACAAACGGGTCCGTGTCGCCACTGAAGGTCAATGACTGGTTGGAAGACTATGCTTTAGAGTTACCATGCATGTCTTGACAAAAGAGTTGAAGCTGCTTATAGAAGATGTGAGTAAGACCCACTTCGACGACTTGTGTCACCATTTCAGAATCTGGTACAATTCATTCTCTCTCTTTTTTTTTTTTTTTCTATTTATTTTTTTTTTAATTTTTTTTATTTTATCATGTAACCAATATTGTTTACGATTGACAATTGGCATAATAACATAACAAATCTTCCTTCATACTCCTAGTGCATGAGGACTTTGCACCACAGGAACTTTGAAACGAAGTCTTCCAATTTATTTATTTTTGGTATTGCTTGTCAATTCAATTTTCATGATATCAGAAATTTCCAGGCTTACAATGAGTTTCCTTTGCTCTGCTTTCATGAAAGCTTCTTTTCAAGTCGACATGTGCTTCCAAGCCGAAGCAAGGGATCTGGGCAATTTTCAAGTTCCGACCACAGCAAGGAGTTGGCAACTTGGCATGGTTCCGAACGGAAAGCTCCAACCTTCGTGCGGTGAATTCTCTGATTGCCCATGACCCTGCTTGCTTGAGTTACATTCCACTAGTTGTTTCCTGGTTAATGGAGCTGTTCGTTGTTGAAGAACCCACTTGAAGACCAATCCTTGCAAAGTTTTTTTTTTTTTTTTTTTGAAGAAAAGTCAGACCCAATGAATTTTCTGTCATGATTCCCATCCTCCATTCACACCAAGAATAACTAGAGAACTGGGTCTCCATGATCCGCTATACACATGCATTTTGTCTTTTTTTTTTTTTGACTGGATATTGCTCTATTCTTTGACAGAAAATAGAGATTTTTCTTCCAGCAATGATTAGTTTTCTATTCATACATTAGCCTTCAAAATCAAGAACCCAGATGGAATGGACTTGTGTAGACAGCTTGATGAAGTTGCTTTGGAGAAACTTTTCACAGTTTTTTTTAAAGCCACTTACATTGGCTGGGACAAGAATGCTGCAAGCAACTAAGAGTGTCTGGTTGGCAAGTTCTGTTTTCTTCTTTTCGAGCCAATTTGAATCCGTTCAATTGTTTGCTCGGATCCATTCTTTGAAGCCGAAAAATTGTTGCTGTGGAAGAAGAGGACAAACACATTGAAGCAGTAGTTAATGGCATTGATACGTTCTAGAATAAAGCATTGAGCGGACTTAATTGGAGATGCACTCTGAGACAATATTTCATTTGGGTAAGTTGTAATTTTGATCACATTCTATGAAGCATTCTCATCCACATACCTTTTATTTATTTATTTATTCTTATTATTTTTTTAAGGCTTTCTTGGTTGGCGAGAAGTCGCTCGTAGAGGTCTGATCTTCAATCGAAGCATGTCATTCCTTTGGAGCTTCGGATTATGGAGGGAGTTTAATCAACCACTAGGCATAGATGATGAGGATTTGCCACCAGTAACAACACCATTAACCGGCACGTCATCAACTGCCCAAAATTGCCCAAATAGGCAATTGATAGAGCCCGAGAGGTGGTACCACAAACAAAGATAGTGTCGTTAGCAGCCACGAATCAACCCAGAAAGCAATGACAATGTTGTTAACACCCACAACAAGAGCGTCTTCATTGGCCATGGATTAGCCAGAAGCCATTGATAGAGCGAGAACAGACTCCGAGAGGTCATGCCACAAGCACAGATAGTGTTGTTAGCAGCCACGAATCGACCCGGAGAGCAACTACAGATGCAGATGCAGAAAGGTTTTACGACTAGCTCAGACAACGTTGTCAACCATCGTAGCAAAAGCGTCGTCATCGGCCATGGATCCAAAAGCCATTGATAGAACAAAAATAAACTCCGAGAGGTCATGCCACCACATCATTTGTAATCATGAGATTCCCTTTGGAACGCACCTTTACTAGTCTCTTTGGACCCATGGTTCCGTTGGAACGCAGCTTTACTAGTCCCTTTGGACCAATGGTTCCGTTGGAACGCACTTTTTCTAGTCCCTTTGGACCTATGGTTCCGTTGGAATGCACCTTCACTAGTCCCTTTGGACACATGGTTCCCTTGGAACACACCTTTACTAGTCCCTTTGGACCCATGGTTCCCTTGGAACGCATCTTTACTAGTCCCTTAATTTGGACCCGTGGTTCCGTTGGAACATACTTTTACTAGTCCCTTTGGACCCGTGGTTTCGTTGGAACATGTCTTTATTAGTCCCTTTGGACCAATGGTTCCGTTGGAACGCACCTTTACTAGTCCATTTGGACCCATGGTTCCGTTGGAATGCACTTTTACTAGTCCCTTTGGACCTATGGTTCCGTTGGAACATACTTTTACTAGTCCCTTTGGACCCATGGTTCCCTTGAAACACACCTTCACTAGTCCCTTTGGACACATGGTTCCTTTGGAACGCACCTTTACTAGTCCCTTTAGACCTATGGTTCCCTTGGAACGCATCTTTACTAGTCCCTTAATTTGGACCCGTGGTTCCATTGGAACATACTTTTACTAGTCCTTTTGGACCCGTGGTTTCGTTGGAACATATCTTTATTAGTTCATTTGGACCCAAGGTTTCGTTGGAACGCGTCTTTACTAGTCCATTTGGACCCATGGTTCTGTTAGAACATACTTTTTCTAGTCCCTTTGGACCATGGTTCCGTTGGAACACGTCTTTACTAGTCTCTTTGGACCTATTGTTCTGTTGGAACGCGTCTTTACTAGTCCCTTGGGACCTATGGTTCCGTTAGAACGCATCTTTACTAGTCCCTTTGGACCCATAGTTCCGTTAGAACGCGTCTTTACTAGTCCATTTGGACCCATTAAACAATTGACAACGTTAGGCAATATGGTTGACATTGATGGTTCCAAACCCAACGAAAGATGAACTTTTTTTTTTTTTTTTTTTTTTTTTTTTTTTTTTTTTTTTTCAAGCAACCCCAAAAGTTGTAACTGTGAATCCCAGTAATAAAAATGATTTATTATCTCCCTTATTTTTTAACAGAGATATTGTTATTGTTTATCTGTTTAGCCATTCATAGTTTATACTCTTGCGGTCTAGGAGTTGTACACAATTTTTTATTTTTTATTTTTATGGATGACTGAACTTGGAACAAACCTCTAAGCTGCCTACGTACCCTTACAGGGATCAAGTCAGTGACATAGTTCGGTAGAAAACAATTGCATTTTTTTTTTCAAGGGCCGTACACAGTTTTAGCTCATGCGGGCTAGGAGCATGCATCCTTCTCATGGATAATATCGCTTCAAAAACTTGGCGTTGATTGGACCAACCCTTACGCCATCTTCATCGATGATTTTGTAGGCACCATTGGTGTAGACTTCTTGCACCACGTATGGTCCATCCCACTTAGAGTTGAATTTCTTACCCATTCGACGGGGCACAATTATGGGTCTTCGTACGGCGAGTAATAGGTCACCAACTTGAAAAGATCGAGGACGAACCCTCTTATTGAAGGTGCTTGAGAGCTAAGCTTGATAACACTCTAATCTTTGTTGAGCTTCGAGTCTTCTTTCATCTAATGCCTCCAACTCTTGAAGACTTAGCCCTTCTTGGATGGCAATTCTTAGTGAAGGGATTTGTTGTTCGAGTGGTAGGACCGCTTCGACACCATATACAAGCAAATAAGGCGTTGCTTGAGTGGGGGTACGATACGTTGTTCGGTATGCCCAAAGAGCTTCCCCAATTCTTTCATGCCAATCCTTTTTAGACTTGGAGACTACTTTTTTCAATAAATTACAAAGTGTCTTGTTGAAAGCTTCCGCTAGTCCATTTGCTAGCGCGTTGTACATAAAAGACTTGTGCTATTTAAAACTAAACTTTTCACATAAGTCACTCATCAACTTGTTTTTGAAAGGTAACCCATTATCAATGATGATATGATGGGGCACGCCATATCAAAAGATGATATTGGTTTTAATGGAGTCCACCACAATTTCTTTATTTTGTTGCTTGATCGGTATTGTTTCGGCCCATTTCGAGAAGTAATCTATTGCAGCGAGGATATATACGTGACCCTTGGAAGATTTCAAGAAAGGTCCAGCCACGTCTAATCCCCATGCATCAAATGGCCAAGACGCAACTGTAGGATGTAAGAGTTTAGGTGGTTGGTGGATGAAATTGGCATGGAATTGACAAGCCTGACACCTTTTTGTGTGATCCATACAGTCTTTAACCATAGTTGGCTAGTAGTATCCCATTCTTTTTACTTGGAAGTGGAGCTTAGGACCTGACTGATGAGCCCCGCAAACCCCCGAGTGTGCTTCCACCATTGCTTTAGTTGTTTCATCTTCTCCGAGACAACGAAGAAAAAGACCTTCATATGAACGTCGAACCAATGTATCTTTGTAAAAGATAAATCGAGGTGCTCTTCGGCGTACTTCGGTTCTATGTCGAGGATCTACAAGAAGCTTCCCATGTTCCAAGTAGTCTATGATGGGTCGTCTCCAGTCTTCAGTTTCCACGATCCGAACAGAGATTACATTTATTTCTTCTAACTGGCCCTCGAGCAACTACGGCAATGCCCATTGTTGGCATACTGGGACGGTAATTGTCTCGGCTTCTCCCAATGCCATTGTTATGGCCAAGTTAGCCAAAGCATCTGCTAAGCGATTTTCTTCCCTTGGGACATGTTCTAAGACTATGTTGTCAAATCTATTACATAGATTGGAAGTGTACTGAAAACATGGAATCAAGTTATCTTTCTTGACTTCATATTCCCTAAGAAGTTGGTTGATTACTAATTTGGAGTCACCATAAACTTCAATGCTTGAAATCTTTATTTCATTTGCCATTTGGAGACCAATTATCAATGCTTGATACTCGGCCATATTATTTGAGCAATTTTCAGGAAACGAAAAAGCATATGGCAAAATTTGTCTTTATGGAGAAACAAACACCATGCCTGCCCCTGCTTCGTCGGACCGCGCCGCACCATCAAAGAACATCATCCATGGCAGAAGGACATCAATAAAGAAAACCTTCTCATCAGGAAAGTCTTCAAAAATTTCCCAATCCGTTGGTATTGGATGATCAGCCAAGAAGTCAGCAAGGGCTTGTCCTCTGACTGCTTTTCGCGGGACATACAAGATTTCGAATTCGTTGAACAAAATCGACCACCTTGCTAGTCGCCCAGAGAGAACAGGTCTTGACATGACATACTTGAGAGGGTCGGCTTTTGCAATCACATGTACAGTATGAGCCAAAAAATAGTGTCTCAATTTATGGGAAACAAATACTAACGCGAGATAAGTCTTCTCAATTGAAGGATATTTGACCTTTATTGCAATTAGCCTCCGACTCAAATAGTATAAAGCTTTTTTTTTTTTTTTTTATTTTTTATTCTCCTCATTATTTTGTGCGAGGAGAGCCCTAAGCGATTCCTCTTGAGCAGCAATGTATAGTATAAGCGGTTTTCCAGGCGTGGGAGCTCCTAACACTGGGCATTAAGTAGGTATTTCTTGATGTTGTCTAAAGCATTCTGACAAGCTTGGTCCTATATAAAAGGGGCATCATTCTTCATAAGTCGGCTAAATGGCTGGCACTGCCCGGCCAAATTCGAAATGAACCAACGAATGAAAGCGAGTTGTCCTTGGAGGCTTCGCAGTTCACGTAGGTTTTTGGGTGGTGGCATTTTCTGAATGGCCTCAATCTTGGATGGGTCGACTTCAGTACCGCGATGTTGGACAATGTACCCAAGGAACTTTCCTGATGTGACACCAAATGCGCATTTGAGAGGATTGATTTTAAGTTGGAACTTCCTTAATCGATTGAAAACTGTGCGAAGATCTTAAAGGTGAGTTCTTCTTTCTTTGCTTTTGACGACTAAGTCATCCACATAGCATTCTACATTTTTATGCAACATATTATCAAAGATCTTTTGCATGGCCTGTTGATAGGTAGCACCAGCATTCTTAAGTCTTAATGGCATCACCTTATAACAATATATCCCCTTTGGGGTATGGAAAACAGTTAACTCTTCGTCTTTGGGAGCCATTCTTATCTGGTTATAGCCGGAGAAACAATCCGTAAAAGAAAGAGCCTCATGTCCCATTGTTGCATCTTTCGTGAGTTCGACGACAGGTAGAGGGAAGTCGTCTTTTGGACATGCAGAATTTAAGTCACGAAAGTCTACACAAACTCGTATTTGCCCATTTTTCTTCTTGACTGGGACAATACTTGAAATCCACATCGGGTATTTAACCTCTAGGATGAAGCTTGCATCAAGGAGTTTGTTGACTTTTTCCTCAATCTTTCTGGCCTGAAAAAGCATTGGGATTGCTTAATTGGACGTGCATCATGCTTAACTGCCAGGTTGTGGACTGCGACCCTGGGTTCGAGACAACTCAACATAACCTTTCTCCTCTAGAGGGCTTAAGAGTGCACTGATGAAGATTGGTTTAAGTTCTTCGACTGATCCTAAGTTAATCTCCTTGAGTTGGTCGATGGTAGCTTGCCCCCCATCTTTAAGTGTTGGAGGCGCTTCCTTGAAGTCTTCCTCTTGAGAATCTGATTCTGAGTCATCTTCCTCCACCGTGATATGGTAAGAAGTAGCATAAGTCATTTCTTCTTCACCCTTCCTTTCATCTTCTTGCTCTAAAGGCTCCGTGCATATGATGGTTCATCTTTTAACCGTTAATACTCCATCAGTATTCAGTTCGAGCTCTACTTTACGTTTCATTCGAGACGGAATTAGGCTTCGAATGCCATCATCTTTTTCTATCTTGAGTTGAACTTTCTCGTATTTTACTATGTTTTGTTTATCTTTAGATATGGAATTGATGGCTTCAATCCGGGAAAAGACAGACCTTCGTGACTGAGAACTTGACACTTCTTTATTTTGAGCACTAACATTTAATCTGTTAAACACTAAAAAATGGGGTGCATGGTTGCCTTGAGGAGATGATCTATTCATCTGGCCTGTCATATTCAACCTTTCAAATACAGAATTGTGGGGTACTGGAGCTTCAATTCGATCGAACACTGAGGTTCATGAAACAAGCTTTTGATCCTCATTCTCTTTATTTTCCTTAACACTAACGTATTGTGTACTTGCTTTCTTATCCCTTCTTCCTATGGGGACTCGGATAAGCTCGCTTGGCGTGAAACCTAAACCAGTTTTAGGTGAACTGATCCTATGTCCTTGATTTCGCAGCTTCTTTTGTGTCTCATTAAGGCCATGCACTTTCTCGCCGGTGAGTTCGGGGCTGAGTTGCCTAAGTTCCACAGGATTTTCAAAGTCATACCTAGCGTTGGCCAAAAGCTTGTATGCATTTGGATCGAATCCTTCTATTATCCTTTGACGAAGAAGCGAACTTTGTTTTGTTGAATCATAAGATCCAAAGATGAACCCTTTTATTGGCGATTTAGCAGTTTTGGACTTCTCAATCTTCACTATAGGAATTGTTGAGTCTTCTTTGAGCGCTTGTGAATCTTCTCTCATTGAAGAGGGGATGGGCTTTGTCTTTGTTTCTTTCATCTCAACAATCTTAACAAAAGGTGATTATCCTTCCTTCCTTCTAGATTTTGGCACATACTTGAAGATAGACTTGTTCTTAAAGACATTCGAAGATGATCCAAACTCTTGTGTAGAAGTTACGACTTTCTTATGTGTAATGCATTCCTTGGGAGTGAGTTTGACTTCTTTTCCCTTTCTCGATTTTACTTTACCCGTTGAAGGGATATCCGTTGGGAGAACCTCCATTGGTGTATTAGAGTCAGAGTAAAATTTAGCATCTGCAAAATGCGAGTCCACCTCAGCAAATGGTTTATCATTTGCAAATACAGTTTTTATGCCATTCCTATAAAACTTGAAGCATTGATGTAAGGTGGATGGAACCACACCATTTCCATGGACCCAAGGTCGCCCTAGCAATAAGTTATAGGAGGTCTTCGCATCGATAACATGGAATATAGTCTCAGCATTTAACTCTTCACTGGCGAGATGGACTCTAATCATGCTAATTGTTCTTTGTCCTCCTTGGTTAAAGCCTTGGATGACTAGGTGGCTACGAGCCAATTCATCGATTGTGATGTCGAGGTTCTTCATCGTGGATTTTGGCATGGAGCTCACTGCAGAACCTCCATCAATGAGGATACGCGTAACTTTTGTTCCCAGATGTATCCGGAAACAAAAAGCGGGCGGTTGGGTGGCTTCAAGCCTAGCCGCAAGTCCTCGTCGGTAAAAGCGATTGCCGCACAACATGAGGCACAAGTCATTATAAGGATTCACTCTTCATCATCTTCCATACCAGTGTAGTTGCCTGGATCTTTTAAAACTGGGATTTTTTCATCAATTTGTTCAGTCGGCTCATCAACTTCAACGATGGACACTGTGTAAATAGCTTGAACTTGATCATTATTGAAATATCCAGTGGGGAAGAAATCTTCTAATGGGACAGGCTTACAAGGGCCATTGTTGGGGCACTCATCTGGTTGATCTTCTTCCACAATCACCTGTTTTTCTTGAGTCATTCTTATTGGGTGATGTTGGAGCTTTTCCTTTCCCTGCCCCCTACTAAAGTGGGTTTGTTGCTCCAAGGTGGTCCTTTGCTTGTGTGGCTTCTTTCTCGTCACAAGAGTCCATCATTCTTTTACTTGTTCAGGTATCTTTGTCTGAGGCATTTGGATAATCACAGGCTCCAATGAACCAAACTGAATGATCTGAGGGCATTCCAGCTGCATGACTGGGGTCATTTGCCTAAAAAGTCTGGAATAAGTTAGACTGAGACATTCGGATGTGGTAGTGGTATGATTTGTCTCTGCCACTTCATCACCTTCCAAAAGAATTTTCCCTTGTTTAGCGAAAGTCATTACTAACTCCTTGAATATAAAGCACTTCTCAATCGGATGGCTAACAATACGGTGGTATTTGTAGTATTTTAGGTCATTCACTCGCCCCATTTCTTCAGGGCATTTGCACTCTAGGAGCTCGATCATTTTCTTTTTGAGTAGAAAATCTAGTATTCCTAGCACATCAGAGTCCGGGAATGGGTACTCTTTTTTCTCTAGCTCCTTAAGTATCAAGCGCGGCTTCTCCTGCCATAGCTTATCCTTCTCTTGGAATTTGTTTTGCTTATCACTTCCTTTGTTCTTCTCCCTCGTGGAGATCTTCAACGGTACCGCCATGATGGTCATAGTCTCTTTGTTGCCTTTCTTTGTCGGCTTCTCGTCTTTCCTTACTTCTTTCTTATCCTTGCGCTGCTCCAAGGTAGAAGGATTGTTCCCACCATGAGTATTGATGCTGATCTCCATGTCATGGGCACGTGTGGCCAACTCTTCAAAAGTATGGGGTTTGATGCCTTGAAGAATATAGAGAAGTCCCCAATGCATACCTTGCATGCACATCTCAACAGCAGAAATTTCTCAGACTCGGTCTTTGCAGTCCAGGCTAAGTGCACGCCACCTGTTGATGTAGTCTGTAATAGGTTCGTCCTTCCACTGCCTGGTGTTGGTAAGTTCTATCATGCTTACGGTATGACGGGTACTGTAAAAGCGATTTAAGAATTCACGTTCCATCTGGTCCCAACCATCTATCGACTCAGCCTCTAAGTCAGTGTACCAATCAAAGGCATTTCCCTTAAGGGAATGAACGAATTGTTTCACCAAAAGATCACCATCAGTTCCGGCATTGTTACAAGTTTCAACAAAATGAGCGATGTGTTGCTTAGGATTGCCTTTTCCATCAAACTATTGAACTTGGGAGGTTGGTATCCGACTGGCATTCTCATGTTCTCGATTTGCTTTGTGTAAGGTTTCAGATACATAAGAGAACTGTGAGTTGCCCCGCCATATTGTGACTTGATCGTGTTACTAATCATGTCTTGAAGTTGTTGGACAGACAACGAAGCGATGAAGGGGGTAAAGTTGGTTTGGTTTGCCCCCTGTTCGGATGTGGTTGCATTGTAATGACCCGGTCATTTCCTTCCTTTCCTTTTTCCTCAGAATTTTAGTGATGAATTTTTTTTCGTTGAAATTTCTTTTCTAAGTTCAATTTCTCGTCGCTTAGTGTCATCTTGAGTGCTCGGAAATGGTTTTTGAGACTCTTTCCTTTGGATTGACAACTTCCTTTGAGGATCGAGTCATTTCCACAATTTTCATTTTTCGACACTATTCATTTTTTGTCCTTATTCCTATTCGTCCTTTTCCCTATTTCGTCTTTCCCCGTTTGTCACTTTGTTGGCAAAACCTCACTTCTTATACTCGGAGTTGGTTTTTGACTTCACAAATCTTTATCGTGAGTGGTTCCCACGAAATACGTATCTTTACTTTTCCAGAAAAGTACTCTGGTTGCTCCCGGTGTCCAGAGGGGCATAGATGCATAATTCTTTGAAATTAATTTCTTTTCTTGGGGTGTTTTTCGTAAATATCTTTTGAAGATATTTTATTTCAGGGGTATCTAAGAAAATATCTTTTGGAAGATATTTTCATTGTGGGGCAGTTTTGCAGTAGGGGGCCATTGTGCAATTAATGAAAGTTGTTGCAAATTATCTCATTTTGAGCCTGGATCCTCGTACGGGATTCATTTTCATTTTTTGTAGAGTCGTAAACTCTTAGAAGTCCCTTCTGGTTGATGTTTTCCAGTTTCAGGGTTTCTGGCCCCAGTTTGCGCTAAACTTGTTTGGGGCATAACTTTCTGCTCGGGACTTAATTTTTGATGCCGTTTCTTCCGTTATTCTTATTTTCTCATTTTGAATCGTTTTTATTCACAGAGTTTCATCATTTGAGTGCGTCTGCTCAAATTTCACTTTTCCGGACCTAGCGGGGCCCGTTCGGGGCACTTTTTGAGATTTCTATAAAAGGGGGATGAGATATTTTATTTTTTCATCTTCCCCACTCTTTTGCACGACCTGAAGCTTCCATGGCAGCCCAAGGGAGGCTGCCACCTTCTCTCTCCTCATTTGAACTTCATTTCTTTGTCAGAACATAGTAGGGCCTTTGCGTTTTGTGTTCGTGTTGACTATGCGCTTCTTTCACCCTTATTAGAACCCGTTTTTGGCCAAATTTTGAGTTCAAGTTTGAAGTCAAGTTATGATTTTGATGGGGCTTCTTGTGGGTTCATGTAGATCGTGTTGTCCCCGACAAAACCCTTCGGTATCGTCGGATTCGGAACACTTTTTTTTCGGTGGGCTTTTGAGAATTTCATCTCAAATTAAGGTAGGGGACGTCTTAGGTTTATATTATTGTTGTATT